TGCAAATACCGGCCCTTCAGGACGAGGGGATGATCTTCTTGTGGGTGACGGGACGGGCCATGGAGTTGGGCAGAGAGTGTCTGAGTCTATGGGGTTACGAGCGGTGCGATGAGATCATATGGGTTAAGACGAATCAACTGCAGCGCATCATACGGACGGGACGGACCGGGCATTGGATCAATCACGGCAAAGAGCACTGTCTGGTCGGCATTAAAGGCAATCCGCAGAACGTGAACCGCGGCCTCGACTGCGATGTGATTGTGGCCGAAGTGCGCGCCACGAGTCATAAGCCGGACGAGATCTATGGCATTATCGAGCGCCTGAGTCCGGGCACCCGTAAGATAGAGCTGTTTGGCCGCCAACACAATACGCAACCGAATTGGCTTACGTTAGGCAATCAGTTGGATGGCGTCCGACTCGTCGAACCACTTGTTGTTAAGCAATACACCGCTAAATACCCCGACGAGGCCCGCAATCTCATACCCAATGACACCTAATGTTAGGCATTAGTGCTCGCATTCATGTATTAAATGTATTGTAAATATAATTATAATTAAATTACTGTATATAATATTGAATGCAATGTTTTGTATAATTGTTTTATAATTAAATTAAATGATTATTAAATGACTTATTGTAGGATAAAAATTGTGAACTGAATAAAAATGTTTTGTATTGAAAAGCACTGAAAATGATTGCATTCATTGCAGTATTTTTTACAAAGTTGTAATTTTACAAAAAGCTGTAAACTTTGATATTTTTGTGACAAATGCAATGTTTTTGCAATGCTTTCAGTCTTTTTGTCTATAAATTGTTGCAAAAGTGTTGTCTTGTGTTTAATTTAATTGTTTTAATTGATTCGCAAAACTATAAACGTTTGATTTGATTGACATGTGTTCGCAATCAACAAGTTTTGCATTCAATGAAATGAGTGATGAGTTGATGGCCACCGAAGACAGCGATAGCCAGTCGTGGGAACACATGTCCGACCAAGACATGGATTGCGAGGAATTGATTAATAAATTGATTGAAATGAAGATTTTCAGCGAAACGATAGACAAAATGCAATGTATTTTGAATTCAAATAATAGTGTTTTGTGTGAAACGATTGAATCGGAAAATAACGATCCATTCGTTGACGAAGAGGCGGAAGATTCCGACGCTGACAGCGATGAAGAAGTTGAGACAAGAGCTGATCCGACCGGTGATACGCAACGAGTAAATGACAAGTGTTCGCAAGACATTGGTTTGATCGACAAGAATGAAGAGTCGGTTCCTGTCGTTGGCGACAATGATGTCGATACGGAAGAGAGTCAACAGAAGTCTCAGTCAACTGACGCGACTGTCGATGAAGAAGAAGAAGAGGAGGAATCGGATGACAAATTCAATGACAGTCTTCTAAACACATCCATAAACTCATTGGACGAGTCGTTTGAGCGCCGGTGCGCCACACAGAAGATCGCATTGTCTCCATTCATCACCCAAAGACCTAAACCACGGATGACTGACACGAATATCACTCAATTGATACCGAAATTTGACGCCACAGGCGATGAGTTTGATTCGCAGACACTGTTAGGCCTGTGTTCGGGAGGTTTTGGTTCCCAATTGAGTGCTATTCCAGAGACGGGAGAGAAGAGTCAAAGCACTCAAGAGTCCGGTAATTTCAATAACAATCAAACAATTGATTGCAATTCAGTGAAAGCCAATGTAAATCCTATAATTAGTAATACTGTGAATAGTATTGAGTATTTTCACTGTCTTTGGACTGAATGTGAATACAAGACAAAACGCAAAACTGATTTAACAAAACATCAATCAATTCATTCAAATTGTAAACCATTTAAATGTCATTTCAATGATTGCAACAAATCTTATAAAAGAAAAGGAGAATTAATTGAACACAAAAATACAATTCATTTAAATATGAGGTTTAAATGCGATTTCATTGAATGTGACAAAAGTTTTAAAACAAAACGACATTTATCTCAACACAAAAGTGGTGTTCATTTGAATGAAAGGAAATTCAAATGTAATGAAGAAAATTGTGGCAAAAGTTTTAATAGAAAATCATATCTCATTCAACACAAACTCATTCATTCGGGAGAAAAATCATTCAAATGTGATTTCATTAATTGTAATCAAATTTATGCGTTAAAATCATATTTAATTGAACACAAAAATGTCGTTCATTTAAATATGAAATTTGTTTGTGATTTCAATGGTTGTCACAAAAGTTTTAATTCTAAGTCGGGTTTATGTAAACACAAACGTTGTGTTCATTTGAATGAAAGGAACTTCAAATGTAATGAAGAAAATTGTGACAAAAGTTTTAATAGAAAATCAGAACTAAATCGACACAAACGCATACATTTGAGAGAAAAACCTTTTAAATGTGATTTCAAGGATTGTAATAAAGGTTTTAAACGAAAAGATGTACTAAATCTACACAAAACTAATGTTCATTTGGAGAAGAAATAAATTTCAAATAATTAAGTTTTGCCCAAACTTTTCAATTATACAGTAATTCATTTTAAAGTATAAATTTATTAGTAATTTGTGTTCAAAAATACATATAAAATTGCGGTTTAATTGTTGTATACAAACAGTTTATATAATAATATAATAAAATTCATAATAAATACCATAAAAGCAATTAAAGTGCGAGAAATAAGTGATGTGTTTGCGAAAGAAGTACACAAAACACCAATAGTTTGGCGGCAAATATCGGACACCACTATAAGACATAACTAATGGATCCATCGGTTAAGGCATTCAATCAATCACTGGTCGTCTTTATCTTTGGCGCCGTGTTTTAGGATACGAGTGAACTCCAGGTAATCAAACATTCCGTTCTTATCGATCGGCGCCTCTCTATACATGTCGTCCACCTGTCGGCCAAAGAGACAAAACAACACAATTAACACCACAATAACCAAAGACCAGATCCGCGGCCATCATCTGCGGCCACAATCACCAGTACTCACGTCTTCGTCGGAGAATCGTTCGCCAATTGTGGTGAGCAGTTCGCGGAGCCTCTCCTCGTGGATGACACCGCTGTTGTCCTCATCGAAACAGTTGAACGCGTTTTTGATCACCTCTTCGGGGTCTGTGCCCTGAAGTCGTTCGCCAAAGAGTGTCAAAAACATGGTGAAGTTGATGGGTCCCGGGGCCTCATTCATCATACCCTCGAGGTATTGGTCCTCCGGATTCTTGCCCAATGAGGCCAACATGTCGTGCAGATCCTCCTTATCGATGAAACCGTCCCGATTCTGGTCTATCATATTGAACGCCTCTTTGAACTCTTGGATTTGCGCCTAAATCGAGACAATCATTGTGTTAGTGACAAACATTATGGTGATAATGGTTGTGGTGATGGCATACCTGGTCAAACATGGCGAACACATTACTGGTGGCCCTTTGCGCCCGCTTTTTGGTGGCGGCCCTACCCTTGGGTTTGCGCGAAGACATCGATGACATCACTGGCGACGAAGTGGTGGCGGAAGCGGTGGTCAACGGCTTCTTATCAGCGGAGTCCAGATTTTGGCCGAAAAACAGCTCTCTTTGCCGATCACTAGCGGAGGTCTGCCGACGGAAACGACAAGCGATTAGTTTTAATCAATATATAACTCAATAATACAATTGATAGATAAATAAGTGTCAAAACAGACATTCATTTAAGTAAAAGTAATTATAATTATAATCAATAATACAATTAATACATGATTTAAATACCGATTTAGTTGTTGTTGTTGTGAGTTATGGCACACCCTTTCGCTCACACACTGTGTCTCTCCTTATGTCTCACTCTATGTAATGAATATTACAATTGGTTTATCATATGATGTGTCGAAACATACAATTGTTTAATATGTGTCGCAAACGGATGTCAAACAAGTGTTTGTAATAATTAGTAACAAAAATAGTTTACAAATCATATGAAAAAATATGCTCTGAATTGAGTTTCAATGACTGTTATAACGACTAAATCGTCTCATTTTATGTCAATTCACTTTTCAAACACACATTACGTCCAATATATGCAACATATAAATAACGTGCCATTAAAGTGATCATTGTCATTTTTGTGTGCCATATATTGATCATGGACCTTTTTGTGTGTTTGTTTGCAATGCATTAGGGCCTAATTGTTTAGGGCATTCATGTGTTGGTCTATCCGTTAAATCAATTAAATTTCTTTTGCTCTCAATTTGTGGGCAAATCTGTTGAACAAATATTGAAGGACTGGAGAGATGTGTTGAATCAGTGGATGACTGCCTGTGTTTGCATAGCGTGTATGTGTTGTGTGCGGGCGTTAGGAGTTGGGGCGACCAGGGGTTCACGTGTTGGACCTAAGCGTACAATTCATTCATATATAATATTCAGTACTCTGTGTTTTGTTATGGAAATTAAGGCATAAAATAATATTTGATCAAAAAATTTCAATTATATATTCTTCATAATTAGGCTCAGAATCGGTATATTTTGTTGATTAAGCTTATGATCGAAATAATTGATTGATTTGATTGAAATATTAAATTTGGTTATAGTTTTAATCATTTATTAAGATTCTATGTTATTCTTTAGTAATTAATAATAAATTAACATTAAATACAAAAATATTCCTATAAGCCTAAATTATAACTTGTTATGTTCAACAACTAACTTAATTTAACAATTATATTCATTATCATTATTACTCGTATTGTTATATAGAATTTAACCTTTTTGAATTAATTTAATTGTCATTTTTTAATGTTTATAATAAACTAAAGGATATATTCCATGAATAAAATTATTACTATGAATAAAGTTATAAATTACATAAAAATTAAAACGACTAGACTTTTGTTATCCATAGTATTGATCTGTAATTTGATTCAACTCGATGT